TTCAGATTAACAGCAGAGTCTGATGAGCAGATGACTCGCAGATCTCCATTAGCAGAAAATGTATGTAAAAAAGTACAATTTTTCCATTCCTATCACCCACCCTACAGGCTGATTCAGTTTGCTATTTTAATTAGTCAGAAACCAGGACTACTTTTAAATACTATAGGGCTAATATATTTTTTTCCAGCACTAAGATGCACAAGACAAAGCAGTGATCTAGGATTTCTAAACCTTAAGTATTTGGAGGCAATGATGCTGTTCGATGGTCTCTGATGTGAAACAGCATTTCTCTGAGCAGCGGCAGCCTTTTCCATCTTGTAATCTCTCAGGCAGTCTCCTACAACGTTTCAAGAATAGATAAAAGTTTTGGGTTTATCCTTGCCTATTTGTCTGCTGAGGTATGAGACTCTCAGAAAGAGCATGACTGACTTGCGTGGCCTTGATGCATATGAAGGATTAAATGGCTTATCTCGCACCTTTCACAGCACAAAAGATTAGAGAAAGACCGTGTACACAGGCACTTCCATTAACTACTGTCATCTAGCAACAGTGGTCCCAGAGAATATAATACTCTTCAGTTTTTTGTCTTGCCACTTCTTCCTTTCTCTTTAAACTCCTCATAACAGCAGGTGTAAAATGGTAAGTAGTTTAAGTTTTACTGATGTTGGAGGACTTTTCAGCCATGAATTTCATTTTTTAGCCGAAGATAGGAGCAGATATGTCCTCAAACATAGACTATGTTCCTCTGAAATTCCTTGCGATTGGGCTATTACGATGACACATTTGGACCCCTGCTTAACTAATAGACAGCAATCTATCTTTAAATTTAGTCTTTTATTTATAACCTTGACAGCATACGTACAGAGTAGATTTTAATGCCGGCTTTAAGCCGTCTTTATTAATCCTCTCCATGTCGGGCATCCCCAGGGATTAGCTATAGGAGGCTGTTTAAACTGCATAGCCTTCCCATCTTTCTGCAAAGGCGTACAGCTTGTTAGATGCACCCCAGCAGATACACCCTCACAAGAAGCCACATCAGTTTTTCTCAGACTTAGTGCCCCAATATCCACGTTGCTCACTAGATGTTCTGGGATGCACACTGGAACAGGACCTGATAGCTACCGCTTGAGATCACGACACCAGAAAAAGCTGGACTGATCTACAACACAGTGTGAAATTTGTAAGCACCAGTGGAAAAGCATGCACAGCTATGCTTGGAGAGGTAATTTAATTTAATGAGCAAAATAACTTAGCTACATTGTATTGTAATGCACAGTGGAGTGAGGTCTGTTGGATTAAAGGCTTAGAGCAGTACACTACAGAACATCTGCAATGAGGGGCTGCAGAAGCGTAGCTGTCCTGATGTAAACAAACACAAAAATATTGAGCTCCAAGAAAAAAAAAAGATAATAAAGTTCAAGAGATTTTAATCTAGCCTGATCTCTGACACATATGCCCTCTGACTTTTTCTGAGTTAATTCATGTCCTTTAGAACCCATTTAATTTTGATTTACAGATTTCCCATGATCCCTCCCCATCACCACTGCAATTAAACTGTTAAAATGGCTAGTCACACACTCTGTCAAAAGTACAAATAGCTAATCTGGTATTGTTGTTGGGTTTTCTTACATGTATGTCTTCTACACTGAAGTGCCTTTTATTATCACATATATAATATTCTAATATCTCCTGCTTCCATTTTTTTTTTAAACAAATGCATAGAAATAGTTTTTTTCTTATCTTCTTTGACATTCCAAGTATATCAGGGCTTACTGAAAATCAGTATTAAAAGCCGAAAAAGGCCGCTCAGATTTTTTTTTGAGACCTATTTGTTGAAAGTTATCAAGAGCTGCTGATTAAAAGTATATGACAGTACTGGCTCCTGTTTAATATCCTGTTCAGTTACTGTTGAAATTGAAAATATTTTATCACAGTCATGTTCTGACATCAATACTTGATCTTTCTCCAAGTACAGAACTATGCTGAGCACTATTCAGTATAAAAGATATACTGACACTTACATAGAGCTTACACTGTTGAATGCTACTGGATTTTTACACAAGACTATTGATAACTGGGCCATTGCTACATTAATAGAGGACTTGTTAACATTTCTTTTATTCTTGATGTGAGAAGTGAAAGAGTACTTTTTATTACCTGTCACTCCACTGACTGATGATTATGTCCTTTGTTTCCTTCCTACATTTTACCAGTTTCTAGCTTCTAGTTTGCTATCAAGTTCTTTTTCTCTCCCATCTGTTATTTTGTTTTCTTATTATGCTTTCTATAGTTACTTTCACATTTACTCCTAGCTGAGCTGAATTTTTTTACGTGTGTAATCTTCTTCTTCAGTTGCAATTCTAGCAGAACATTATTAAATTGTTACCAACACCAGCCACATTTCTTCCATCTAAATTATTTCTGCGGGGGTATTGACTCCTGTTTATTTCATGTCTATGACACTGGACTTTTAAAGCAACAATGTGTGTATGTGTGTATAAATACATCGTTACATTGGTATATAAATTACAGAAAAAAAGGTAATTATTTGCTGCATTTTAGTTTTGTAATCAATTCCTCTATCAGTCAGGATATGAATTCAAACGAGCATCGTGCCATGCAGTTGTCACCTGTGCCTCTGAGATTCTCACATTCCCAGTGATGACCGTACCTTACTCAGAAAGCTGTAGAACTCGCAATGAGGGGGGGTTATATTGTTTGGGGCTACTTGCAGCCTGTGTTCCCTTTGATGATCCCAGGCATTTACAGTGCTTTTACTGTGAACGATAACATGGCTGTGCATCAGTCTTTGTATTGGATTTTATCCAGTCTTCTTTCCTCAAATTTTTCCCAGCCTGCTTTCCTTCACTTCCCCCCAGCAGGGGCTTAGGAGTACATCTGCGCTGCTATTCTGCCATACACCGCTGATTTTATCATAAAATAATACTTGTCTCCTGTAGAAAAAACAATACAGGCAGTACCTCCCCAGATTCTTTACGCGTACTGCCAACATTGGGATATAATGGTGTCGAGTTGTCTGTGTTGATTTTCAATACCTTATAAAAAACACTAGCAAGTATTTAAGGAATTCACCTTTTCCTAAGCTTTGTACTGTTATCTGCAGGGCTTAAAGCTGTTTTGATTTGTTACCTGTCTTCCTGAAGTACGTAGTCTGCACTGGAGGTAATGACTGATCTTACTTTGGCTCTCATTTACTCCTTCCATAAATAAAAAATAAACTCTAAGCAGCTGGAAACTCGTCTGTGCCAGTGGAAGACATGTTTTTTTTTCTGCTTTAGTTACCTAATTTCATGACGTTTATTCAACACACTGAAAAAGTAACCTAAGTGTAAAAATTGCAGAACGCGATTCAGGTTCATAAACATTACTGGTATTTACAGTCTCATACTGATTATGTTATTTCCAGTGGAAGCATATGGCTTGAGAGGCTTGTGATGTAGGCCTACAGGCTTGAGAAGTGGACCTATGCAAACCTCATGAAGTTCAACAAGACCAAGTGCAAGGTCCTGCATATGGCAATCCCATACACAAATACAGACTGGGTGGAGAATGGATTGACAGCAGCCCTGAGGAGAAGGACTCGAGGGTGTTGATTGATGAAAAGCTGGACGTGAGCCGACAATGTGCAATCGCAGCCCAGAAAGCCAACAGTATTCTGGGCTGCATCAAAAGCAGCGTGGCCAGCAGGGCGAGGGAGGTGATTCCACCCCTCTACGCCTCTCTGGTAAGACCCCACCTGGAATATTGCATCCAGCTCTGGAGACCTCAACACAGGAATGACATTTGGACCCGCCTGTTGGAGCAGGTCCAGAGGAGGGCCATGAAGATTATCAGAGGGCTGGAGCACCTCTGCTATGAAGACAGGCTGAGAGAGTTGGGGTTGTCCAGCCTGGAGAAGAGAAGGCTCCAGGGAGACCTTATAGCAGCTTTCCAGTATCTGAATGGGGCCTACAAAGAAGCTGGAGAGGGACTTTTTACGAGGGCATATAGCAATAGGACAAGGGGTAATGGCTTCAAACTGGAAGAAGGTAGATTTAGATTAGATATCAGGAAGAAATTTTTCCCTGTGAGGGTGGTGAGACTCTGGCACAGGTTGCCCAGAGAAGCTGTGGCTGCCCCATCCCTGGAGGTGTTCAAGGCCAGGCTGGATGGGGCTTTGAGCAACCTGGGCTGGTGGGAGGTGTCCCTGCCCATGGTAGGGGGGTTGGAACTACATGATCTTCAAGGTCCCTTCCAACCCAAACCATTCTGTGATTCTATAATTCTATGATATTAAAAAAAACCCAATTTTTAAAATCATATTTAATGTTCAGAAAGAAATGGGAATAGCTTGATGACCTTCTTAATAAGACTTTAACCTGAAATCTTTTCTCCTCTTAATTTAGGTCAAATAAGCTATTTATTTTATGCGCCTGACTTTGTACCCTTATTTAATTATTCTCTGGATGTAGCTATTGTTAAGCCCCTACAATTTAGCACAGTTCAGCACATATTTCCAGCTGCTTACAGGAACACACTGGGGAATGTGCTTTAATATCACTTCACACTTATTAAAATACAAATTATTCCAGAGCGAGGATATGCTACTGCCATGAATGAATAAATTTTAATCATAAAATGTACCAGTGAAAATTCAACCTGTTCAAGAATATTGTCAAAATGTTTTTGTGTGACACTGCTTGTATCTGAATAAACATGTTGGGTGAAGTATTTGCATATACTGTAGTAATGAGTATTAATGGTGTATATCTGCACAGAGTTGAAAAACAAGAAATGTTGACAGCTTTTTTATTTCTAAAAATATTTTTAATATATTTCTGATATTTCTAATAATCTTTCTAATACTTCTAATAAAATATTTCATTTTTTTTTATATATTTCTAAAAAACTCATGAGTGCCTCGAAACATGTCTTTAAAATATGTCACAATGCTGAAAGAAATTTACTTACTCTGTGTTTTTTTTTCTCTCGTCTTGTAGATATTTTTAAACGCAGACACAATCCGTCTGGGAAATCTACCAGTGGGTTCCTTTTCCTCCTCCTCCTCCTCCTCCTCTTCCTCCTCCTCCTCTCCCAGCTCTTCAGCTTCTCGCCAGACTATCTATGAGCTCTGCGTCTGTCCCAATGGTAAACTTTACCTGTCGCCAGCAGGAGCAGGCTCCACATGTCAATCCAGTAGCAACATCTGCTTGTGGAGCTAGAATGACTCCAATTTCTCCTCACACCAGAATAGCCTTTTGTTACTGTCCCTCTGCTTCACAGTTCTGCTCGGTTTCCCTTGTGACAAGTTCGACGCTTCAAACGGCCTGCAGAGCAACTTCTTCCAGTGTAAGCAGGAATACAGCGCTGCCTTCTCTTGTGGTTTGTGTTGCCACTCAACACAAGTAGAGACGGGAGTGAGATATTCAGAAATCAATGTATTCTTCATCAGGAAACCTGGAACATAATATCACCTTTTGTCCAAAAGGGAGAATAACACAGGTGCCTTTGCTACATGAAGTGAAGCACATAGTTTTAGATTTTTGCAGGACCTGGATGTGAACTGCACATATATATATACAGTACATAAAAAAATTTGCCCAGAATCTGACGGTGAGATGAATTGGTTCCCCCTGTATGATAAATAACTTTACTGTCTGAAAGCACAATTTTCCATTCATCTTTTTGGATGTAAACTTTTATCCCTGAATTTTAAAATTTTGAAGCATTGTGTGATGCTTGCTTTACTAAACGATTAAATTCAGTAAATGGTTTTTAACACAAAAAGAGACAGAATCCCTCCCCGAGTTTGGTTTCTTTTAAAAGTGTGTTGTTACTCTTTGTCTACTAAGTCTAGGGTTTTGTACACTAGGTAAATTTTGGAAGTGCTCAGCAATATTACCTTTCAGAGTTAAAAAGACATCTGCTCTTGTTTGTCAGATCTGAATGGCCTTACATAGTATTTTCGTGGCTACTGCATGTGAAGCGATTGCTTTAAGTAGAACATACAGTTTCTGGGAAAGAACAGGGTAAAGAGGGAGATACTGATGATGTGTTTGATGATCAGTGTATTGCTCTTCACGAGGTATTTATAATTGGCAAATGCAAAAACGAGAGAAAAATCTTCTAAGGTGCATCTCGTCCATTCTCTAGCTATGTCCAACTGCTGCCATTTGAACACAGTACAAACGTTAGTACCAATGTAGTGTGTAAAGCTGAGAAGCAATGCACTAACAACTGGTATGACATTCATATTTATTATTCTCTTTTGTTTACCATCTGTTGCCAAGGTTTTCAAAGTAATAGTAGTATATATAAAATGACATATTAAATGAGATTCGATATTAAAAAGTACATTGATATTACGCTGACTTTATCAGGCCTGTGTTTAAATTATGCAGCCCCACTCGCACTCGGATCTCACTACCGACTTCCTTTTTCGACAAGTTTGATGTGGGGTTTCTTTCTCGTATCAATGTTCATGCTTGTTTGTCTTGGCTGGTAATAGAAATCTTATAAAAAGTGCTTTGGTATGCTGCTAGTAAATTTATCGCAACATTGATTAACAAGACTATCTTGAAACTTGCAGAACCCAGGAATGTAAAACAGTATAAAAATGTTTCCTATTGTGGAAGATGGCTTGATTATATGAGGTAAGTGTGATTTTTGATTCTATCCTTTAAATTACCTCACCGGGCCTGTAGCTTTTGAGGCTTCTGAATGTAAGATCACCAATGGGATGATGGCTTTTGCAAGGTAACTCTAAAGTCAGGGCAGACAGTGCAAGGTGGGTATTTCTACGCAATATTTTTTATTCTTAGAAAAAAAAAATGAAATGAGCAAACTAATAGTCTGTTTACCTTTCTATTTTATTACCACCTAATAAGGTTGATTTTGTTTCCACTTCAGGTGAAATTCACTCCTATGCAGAAGACCAGCACAAGGCGTGCCCACGGCTTGACTGGTGCTTGCCCTTCCATTGGCCCTCTTCAGAGGTGTGAATTTCACCCCCTAGCAAGAATTCTATATTTGCTGTTTCTACCAGTTAAATGAAGATTTTAAACTGACTATTTTGTCTCTTCAAAAGAAAGCTGTTAACAGCTGATTTTTTATTTCTTTGAGAATTTTAGTCTGTTATCTGGAAAGAAAATAAATTAGAAAATATTGCAAGAGAATATATTAGAAGTCTGAGGATTTTTAGTAAGAGGGACAGAAAGAGATACAAATGACAAAGAAGGTAATGATAAAACAACAGAAAGTGTAGCCATACAATATACCCTTAAAACTGAACGGAAATAGATGTCTTTTTCTTATGCACACAAGGAATAGAATGATAGTGTGAATGTCATGTGGACAAATAGTATTTCAGGAGGAAATGTATACAGTCTGTATGAGGACACATCTATATGTATTCATTATCTGTGCATACCTACATACACTGGTTGCTTAGAAGATGGACAAACAGATTATAGTGACTAATCTATTTGGTGAATTAAATTGTGGCTTCTCACAAATTGCACACAAGTAGACTAAGATTTTATTTTTTTTTTCCCTCAAATAAACCCACACAGTAGCTTGCAGATACTTTGTAATGAATTTTACATTGAGAATTTATTGTTTGTTTGCTCTTCATCTCATGTGATTACTTACCTGTAATACGTAAAAGAAAGGTTTCTGCCCACTGGGTGGAAAGACCCTACCTTTTTAAATTTTACGTGAACATGGGTGGGAATGGACAGGTAGAAAAAAAAATCTTTTGTTACTAGATTCATTTTAACAGCAAGGCGGGAATAATTTACCACTTTGTATGAAGAAGATTGAGGGCAGAGGTGTGTATGGCACATTGGACTCAACAAAACCAAGCCAGTAAGTCCACATAGCTCTGCACTGTTGGGATTTTCTTGATGGGGGTCCCTTCAGTCTGAAGTAGAGAGTATTTGAGAGCTTCAGCAATCTATGAGATAGAGTAACCAGTTCTCATAATGTCTTAAGATTCTGGTGAGCTTCATAATATTGATGTTTTACTTTAAATCCATTGAAAATGCTAAAAAGGGGAAAATCTCAGTTTTCATTTTAAAGAATATTTCTAGCCCACATGATTTCAGAGTATTGGAAAAGTGATTTCAACACATTTAGAGAACTAAAAATTTAAAACACCAATAGTCTGTAAGCAGCGTCATCATTCCTGAGAAATACCCAATGGTTTTGAATGTGGCTGGCAATAGCAAAAATGTCAATAGGAGAGCTCTTCCACCAAAAATATCAGAAAAATGGCATAATCCTGCATCATCATTTCAGATGGAAGGAAACTAGAAGATCTCTACGCAAATACCATATTAAACCATGGAGCCATAGCTGTGCTATTTCAGTGCTGGTTTTATAATGCTGAGGTCATTGCAAAGCCATAGGAAACTTTCAGATTCTTTTTACAACCTTCCTCATAGATTCCTGGCCCTCTCTCCAAATTACTTCAGTCTTTGTTGGCCATTTATAATATCTAACATACAGATCATGATTAAACCCCAGCTACTGTTTCTCTAGGTGGAGTGCTTATCTGACTGAATAATTCAATTGTCTATTTTAGAAAAGAGATATCACTTCTTATTCTGGTTAAGG